ACAAGAGTCATGAGTTTTGTTGTGTGTGTGTGTGTGTGTGTGTGTGTGTGTGTGTCAGAAAGGGATGGAAAATGTTTCACTCTTTGAGGCTGACGTCATTGAACTTATATATTTTCACCAGATGTATTCATCATCTTCTGTGATTAGACTTGTCCCAAATGACTTGTGGTGCTTCCTGTGAACTCATTTCGGCTATGTGTGTTTGGAATCAAGGAGAAACCACAGTCTTCAACAGACAGCACAATGAGTAATCTTTCAGCTGGGCTTGGAATCAAATTTCAGAACTTCTACAATGTAATTAGATCCTGAAAGTAAATCTAGCACATGGATCTGTGGCATCTAGGAACAGACAAATTTCTGTTTATTATTATCATTACTGTATGTGCAGATTAGAGAGAACAGAATCTGATCTGAGGTCAAGGTCACCCAGTCGAACAGAGATGAAGTAACCGAGTGGGTGTAGGCATTTTGCACTCTTTTTGTTTTATACTTTCACCCTTAATTTTTATGTGCATTTATGTCTGCATCATTGTTGACTGTAACCTGCCTGGCCAAAAAAACGTTTCCATCTGGATTCAATAGAGCAATTCGAAAAAAAAAAAAAAATTATAATAAAATAAATAAATAAAAGATTCATCAGGCTCGAACTTAGTCTTGACTTCAACCCCATTGAAAACCATTTAAATGCAGTTGCTCCTTTTAGGGCACTTGTTAGCATCGTTGTTTCTTATGGGAAATGGACAGGCATAGGTGCACCAGCAGGCATGGATGCTCCTTTTGTGAATCTGATAAGAATCCGATATCGAGGTCCATGTGCTCCATGTAAGAAAGGATCCAAGACCTTCTAAGATCAGGCTTTATTTCAATGCACATGTAATTACTGCCAATAAGTGATCCCATTTGGAAAGGGACTGCCATTAGTTGGAATGAACTAGAGAGGTTGAGAAACCTGAGGGACACCAGAACACATGGCTGGGTCCCTGTGGGAAATCAGCCGCAAGCTAAGGTGCTGCTCCAATGCATAGGCCTACATAGTCGCTGCCCATGGGTGCTCCTTGTTGACCAATTGACCATTTACCATGAATAGCGGGATATCGCGCTAACCGCGAAGCACCCATGCTAACCACGTGCTTTTGCACACTAAACTCATGACACACTATTAATTGAGTCAGACGAACTGCTTTTAACACATAGGCTATAACTAAGCCTATGTGTTAAAAGTACTTACATTTGGACTATTGTAGCCTGGTCGGGTCGTCACCGCTGCGGAGTAACACATACCTGCGTGAATCGCCATAGACATAAACTTAGAGAAGTAGCTCCGGTTGGAATGTTCTTCCGCGGGATGTGTGCAGTTCTGTTTATTAACCGCTTTTGGATGAGCCAAAAGTTACACAGTGCTGCTTTAAGTTAATACGCGCGCGCGCGTGTGTGTGTGTGTGTGTTTGTGATCTCACATCTGTAGTATGTGAGTAAACACTGAGTCCTTTGTATTAAATGTCCTTGTAAGGCAGAGGACAAACACTAGGTGTGACAGAAGTTAAACATTGACCTGGAAACTGTGGTTAGAAGCATCTGAATCCATCCACGCATGTGAAGAGGCAGAAATTATTCCTTTACAAATGGAAACCACACAAACAGCTAACTTGCAATGTGCTTGCTTTCAACGGGAAATAACAGTTTTTTTTTATGTGCTGACATAGCCTACTGTTTGTAGTAGATGTCAAACCCCACATTCTGACAAGAGTGTGAAGCGTGACAAAAGGTCATTATCTGTTCATGTGCGCCATCTACACGCAGAAAGACGAACTACATGCGGTAACGACAGCGACCAGTAGAGGTCAGTGTAAACCTGATAGTATTATGGGGTAACCGGTACAAGAGTGCTATATGTAACAGCGCCATCAGTTCTGAGCTATGAACCAAACCCAACCAGCTCCCAGATGAATCACGTTAGTGCATACTTATATTCTGAGTGAGTGGACTACATTATTCCAATGAATCACATCAAATGACATAACTAAAAACTACAGTCTAATAGTTTGGATAAAGATGCTTTATGTTATAACTGGAACTATATTATGTGTTTTAGTATGACTGAAACATTGCATTGACTAATACAGGGTCTCCTGATCACTCTTTGTTAGATTTGAACAAGGAATTGTAGATTATTGTATAAAAACTGATGTGAAGGACAAGCAAAAGAGGAGAGATGATCAATGGAATAAAGGAGAGGAGGATGAAAGTAGACAAAAATTACATGAAACATCCCTTATTTTTTCCATTATTGACCGTCCAATGATAAAAGGCCATGGGCAACATCTGTCTGTTTTGAGATGACCATATGAATCCCTGCCTACACAGCACACTCCTTTTTCCTTTGTTTGGTAGCATACAGATGATGTTTTCACACTTCATTAACT